TGTCTAGCCAAGGCTGGCTTGGAATTTCCTAAGAGTATTGGGGTTACAGGTGTACTAACCACCACACCCAGCTTTCTTCTTTTAGAGATACCCTATCCTACAGGTTAGAATCCCACCCTATGACCTCATTTAATTTAGTATGTTTTTCTAAAGCCCTGTCTCCAAATACAGTTACATTGGGTGAAAGGATTCAGCCTATGCATTTGAGGCCAAGACATAAACCAGTCTACAGAAAGATCAAACTGTTACTAGCGTAATTCTAGCCAAGTGATGATTGGTAAAGTTTGGACGAGTGTCTTCCATAAGCTCGGGTATTTGAATACTTGGCGCCCAGTTGGTGGCATTGTTTGGGGTAGGGTGGGGTTAGGGGGAGGTACAGCCTTGCTGGAAGATGTATGTCACCGGGGCTGGGCTTTGAGAGTTGCACCCTTGCCTTCTAGTTTGCGACCTCTACTTCGGGCTTGTGGTAAAAGATGTGATCTCTCGGCTTCCTGCTCCAAACCGCTGCCATGTCGGCAACCGGCTGCCACGCGGCCTGCCGTGATGCATCCTTATCTCTCTGGATCTGTAAACCAAATAAATACCTACATCATTTTTGTTCATGGCGTTTTATCATAGCAACAGAACACTAGCTAATACACAACGCCCATGTGTTGAAGGCTGGGTCCCCAGTTAGTATAGCCAATCACTGGACTTGAACTTCATTCATAGACTGATCCTTCGGTGAATTCAGAACTGACTGTTAGGAGACGGGAGGAAGTCAGTACTGGAGATGTGTCCTGAAAAGAGATCTCTTGTTGCCTTTTGTTTTCTGGCTGCTGTAACAAGGATATCTGTGCCCGTCCACACTCTCCCACCACACCCTCCCACCATGGTGCTCTCTCTGCCTTACCTCAGCACAGAACTAGCCCACCCTTAGGGGACAGAGGCCTCTAAGACCATGAGCTTAAAATTTTTTTTTCATTTGAGTTTCTTTTCTTGGGTGTTTTGTCAGGCACAAAACCATCTGGCTAGTAGGAAGATGATGACAACGGATCAGATCTTCTTATAATGAACATACTTCTTTGGTAATAAGAAATAAAGTGTTGGCCGGGCGATGGTGGCACATGCCTTTAATCCCAGCACTCGGGAGGCAGAGGCAGGCAGATCTCTGTGCGTTCGAGGCCAGCCTGGGCTACCAAGTGAGTTCCAGGAAAGGCGCAA